GAGCCTGCTTTGAAGCCAGACTCAGCAGCTTTGCGCCCGGCCCACTGGCCTTGCTGAAAATAAATACTCAGTGATGTACCCGCGAAGAGGCGAAGAGGCAATTCGCCTTCTCTTAAGTCATCGTCACGTAAGGCAAGGAAAGCATCCAGGGCCAAACCGTCACCAAGAAAATGAGTTAGCCCGAAGCTAATATCGCCTCCTAAACCATAGTCGGACTCTCCATTAAAAATCCTAGTTGCAAAATCAAACTCTAGCTCGCTACCCTCTGCCTATCTGGACCGTCTGCATCTTGCGCACGAGTCGCTGCACGACATCCGATCCTTCCTTGAGTCTGCGTGCAACTTCCACGGCGCCGAGAAGCGGCGCGCGCTGACCGTGCTTTCAATTTCGTCGCTGTCGTTGCTGCTGTCGCAGGTGAACCGTCTCACCGGCGAAAGGGACGCCAACGTGACGCGGCGGCTGGAGGCGGTGCTGGAGCGCGCGCGGGTGGACCCGCTGGCGCGGCACCCGCACGAGCAGCTGATCGCGGAGCCCGTGGCGGTGTCGTCGCACGAGCTGAACGCGCGGCGCGGCGCGCGGAGACGCAGCCGGCGCGAGGCGGAGTGGCGGCTGATGGAGTTTGTGTCGCGACAGCTGCACATCCCCACGGACGTGCTGCGCGAGCTGCCGCGCACGGCGCGCGCACAGCGCGAGCTGGAAGCGTTCACGCAGCGGTTGCAAAGATTCAACGTGGCCAGGCCGCCGCCGAGGACGGCGGGAGGGCGGGCCGGCACGGGCTCGGTGCCGCAGAGCCCGGTGGATAGAAGGTACACCGAGCCCAGGCCGCCCGAGACAGACCCGGCAGGGTACGTCAGACGGGCGTACGGGTTTGACGACGGCAGGTTGCCAGAAATGGGAGATCTGAATTTGCCGGCGGCTGTGCCGAGCCATGTGCAAGGGCCGGGGCTCGCGCATGCTGTGCACGCGCGGCTGTCGGCCATGCAACCGGTAGTTGGCTTGCCGCCGGGAATGGGCATGCAGCCGGTGATGTCGGGCTTGCAGCCGGGGTATCCGCAGTATCAACAGCAGCAGCCTGCGGCGTATATGGGGGTCTATGGGGGGGTTCCAACGGCGGGGTATCAAACAGCACCGGCGGCGTATCAGGGAGCGCCGATGGGAGGGTATCCAGGTGCGGCGCCCGCGCCGCCGATCCAGGCTGCGTACATGCACCCGCAGCAGCATGGGACGGCAACAGCAAGCATGGATACGAGGGGTAGCTACGTGACTCAGCCCCGGTATTAGGAGCAGTGTGAAGCTCGAAGTTGGATTGTAAAGATGGGTGTTGATTTCCGAGCATCACCTGCGTGCGTTGTAGTGCACACTGAAGTTTTTCATGTAGGAAGGGGATAGAGCAATGGTGGTTTCGAGAAGGTTTGCGGGAGGACGGCAGGGGGGCGGGCAGGGGGGCGGGCAGGGCGGTGGGCAGCAAGAAAGGAGATGGGCTGTAGAGGGACGCGAGCGTGACAGCGGTCACGCTCCGGTGCGTCGCGATTTCGGGGACCGAACGTGGCACTAGCGCGAGGGCGTTTGCTCGCTCACACCCACAGCGAGCGTGTCATTATGGCTCGGCGGGGACGCGAAGAAGGATGGTAAATTAGGCCCCCGAGAATGAACTAAGATGACGACGTCGTGCTGCCGCTTTGTCGACCGCTAGCGTGTGGCCGAGAGTGCTGTGCACAATGCTTCCTGTGCATGTGCACGATCGCGATCAAAGGTCATTGTTTAGATCGCCCAGCTCTCACTGACCTGAGTGAGGCTAGTGTCTTGGATGACAAGACTGGTCACTTAGAGCACCCCTATCGGTGCTGTGTATCATGGTATATGTACATATTTGGCATATAGAGATACATATCGCCTCTTTCATCCCTATCGGACTGGTTATCTCCAAAAATTTGGCCTTTTTGGCTATATCTATCTCTATATTGAAAGCCGGATGGCGACAAATTTACTCATTTGACCATATAGAGACGCGAATTACATGGCGCCACTTGGCCAAAAGACCATAGAACAGTGTCAATACAGTGCCTCTCGTACTCGATGCCCCGCACCCCTCGTACACTATGCCCTATCAGGGCACTTCAATTTCAAATTTACTCCTAAACCGATAGTGTTGCGCACAGAAATGCTACAGTATATGCAAACGCAAAAGTTTACACATTTAGCCACCAAATTTAGCCAAACCGATAGGGGTGCTCTCATATGAGGTCACTTTTCAACTTATTTTTTCTCGACTTGTTCATTCTCAACAAGAAGGAGAAAGATACTTTCGTCGCCGCAGTTGACTTCTGCGTTGCGGAAGGGTGAAGTTCCATCCTTTCGGGAGATGTGCACGTGTATTCCAGGCATTTTTACAATGCCGAGAAAAAGAAACCTTTTCGACTAACCTTAAAACGTTATTTGTTGATACCTTCGAAACCAAAGCGCCTGTTTAAAATGTCAACCGACAATGGAAACTTCATTAGATTCTTAGTCTTTCTGTGCATTCACAACTGCTACTCCAATGTTTTGCAAGATGTTATTGCCGAGGGCATATATTTTTGCAAAAAAAAGCTGGCCTCGCTTCTAGCTAGACACTAGGCGGACTGGAGGGCAGACGGAATAACGAACGACATCAAACGCACAAGCTGCGCTTCTCTGTCTACTCCACTCGCTTTATCCGCTCGCGCCAATATCCCCTATGGAGAGTTTCGGTCTCCCGGCATTAGCGCGACGCCACTACCCCGCTTCAGCGACAGAGAGCGCCCCGCGATCAAGCGGTGCGCGCGCATCCTGAGTGGCCCTCATGGCCTTTCCGGGGCGGTGGACGATGAGCGGGTTCTGGCCGCGCCCCGCCCAGGACGCGCTCTGCCGCCAACTGGCGCCACCCCGATCAACATGGTGTTAAGATTAACAAGCGCTGGCGGCCGGTCACGCCCGTGCGTGGCCGCGTGTAAGCGTGTCCTCGCCCCAACAACAAAGGCGCTCAAAATCTCCGCCCCATCTCGCGCTTTCTTCCACGCCCCGCCCGTCCCCCTGCCGCCCGCCATGCCCACGACGTGCCTCGCGGCCCTTCGCCGGCTCGCCGGCTCGCCGGCTCGCGCGCCTCACAGAGCTCGGCGGCCTGGGCGCCGTCACCCTGCTCTTTCTGCGGCTGCGCGTGTAGCCGCGGCGTCGGCGGGTTACGGGGCGCGAGAGCACGGCGTCACGGCGTCGCGCGACCGCCGGCGCGGCGCGAGTTTGTCGCGCTGGAATTGCGGGCAGCGCCGCTCCCGGCGTGCGGTCGGTGACAAGCCGGGCGGGCTTCGCCGGAGAAAGCTGGGGCGCGCGTGCGTGCGTCTTACATGGGCGGGCGGCAGTGGGTGCGAACGGGAGTGGATTGGCGTGGGCGGCGTGTTGTTCGTGTCCAATAGTGCACAGCGTAGGGCAATATCCTTTTACGACGACTTCGGTCCTCGCGCGCGGGTGGGAAACGCGGTTGCAGCGTTCGGCTCGGCGCGGGCGGTGCCTCCACGGGGGCGTGCTCACGCGTGGTGGGGCGGGCGGGCGGCGGGCTCGACGGGCGGGGCGGCGGCGACGACCCTGAGGGCGAGGGAGCAGGTGTCGCACTCGAGGACGGCGACGGCGGCGGCGAAGTCTGCGGCGGCGGCGGCGAAAGCGCCGCCGCAGCGGCACGGCCA